TCTATCAGTTAACACCACTTAGTACAAGCTCAGAATTTTAAATACTGAAAGCACACCTGTACATCTATTAATTTTTCCCCAAAACATACATTTAGGCAAGAAATACTAAGAATGTTATGTTTAAGTAAGTAGGGGAAAAAATGCTATGACCCTAATTCCACAGATAAATGTAATAAGTGAATAAAAGTGTATGATGATGCCAAGAAGGGAGAAAACTCTGACAAAGCTTGACCAGAAACAAAACTCATTTGCCTTAACTTTGCTATAAAAAACAATGTTTTCTTTGGGACTCCTAGGTGGCTCAATCAGTTAAGCGTCTGACTTTGGTTCAGGTCATGATCTCAGGGTTCTGGGATTGAGCTTGTCAGGCTCCCCACTCAGCAGAGGGGTCTGCTTGTCCCTCTCCCTCTGCCCCTCCATTTGTGTTCTATCTCTCCCTCAAATAAATATAAAATCTTAAAACAAAACAAAACAAAAAGAACAAACAAACAAAAACAATATTTTCTTCAAGCAAAATGGTATCATCAAGATCAGGCCTATATTCCAGAATATTTCCCACTGCCAAAATAGCATCTGTCAAAAGAAGTTTAAGACAATGAATTGAGCATTAGATTCTCATTTGTATTCCCACTCCTTACCACATCTTACCATTTTCTATCCTTAATCTTAGGTTGAATCCCATGAAATTGCTATTTTTGTACATCAAAAATGGTGAAATACCGGCAATTTCATACAGCTCAACGTAAGTAAAATGGCCAACAGAGCAGAAAAAGAGAGAGAGATATGCACCCAGCTAGAATAAGGAGAAGGGGACTATCCTCATGCTATAAAATTGGCAGTGGTTCTGACAGATACTACATAGATGAAACTAAAATAATTCAAGTACTAACTTGCCATCATCCTACAAGAAAAATCAACATGGAGTCTCAAATCATAAAGAGAAAGGACTCTGAGAGATTTGGGCAACAGCCCCTAATTTGGAGGGCCAAGGACTGAAGCAAAGCTGTATCTTGGGACAGACACTAATCACTATCTCCATACTTCAACCTGAGGGCTCTTTGAGAGCTCATCCTACAGAGAAGCCTCTCAACCCCAAGGTCCTTACTGCTGCAGAGGGTAGCTCCCTCATGCAGCCATCCTGGGAGGAAACAAGCATGGCCTCACCTTACGAAAAGCAGCAGGCAGCAAGCCCACTTTCCTTCGGAGGTAGCTGGACTCTAGTCTCCTATACTCTTGTGAAGCAGGACCTTCAGACAGGCCAAAGCTCTTACTTGGCTTACACGTCACAAAAGAGAAAGCTGAATGGAGAAAGCTAATCCTGGCCTCCGCAGCTTCACCCAGCAGAGAACAAACACTTCATAAATCTCCCCATCTTCCCACAGCCCCAGCTACTCTCTTCCCCTCGGCCACTCCTTTTCATGACAGGGACATATTCTCCAGCTGCTGGGTCCCTGATGCTCATGCAATCTTTCAGAATCCAGCTCTCCAACAAAGGATCTGAGGGGGAATAGATCAGCTAGCTTTCTTGTTTGCCAACAACACCTGCCGACTCCAGAGAGGAAATGCACTGGGACACTCTCCTGGACACACAAAACTGAGGACTACAAGTCCAAGCTTAACGAAGGGCTGGAAGAAAATGAGAGGACATGCTACAGGGATCACAGGGACCATGTCCCAGGACAGGAAGAGTCTTATGAACGCACCAGGGCTGTGAGAGATGACCTGCAACCTTCCCTCTACGTCTGCCTCCCTTGCTTCCTTTTGTCCACCCTCGTTTCACTTTCTAACGACTCAGAATGCTGGGCAGTAATACACTGATTAGCCGAGCTCAGGTCATAGCTGGCCTGTCTGACCTGAGGCAGGAAGATGGAGGATCTGACATGTGTGAGAGGCCATTTCCCAAAAGGAAACCAGGGGAATGGACACTGGCCAGTCAATATGAACTAACATCCACAACAAGGAAACAAAGTATTTAGTTAGAACAGGAAGGAATTGAGGCCAGTTACACTCTCTGTTTTGGGACAAATTCTAGGTGTATATACATCTGTTATTGTTCAAGGATGAATAAAAAGGACAAAAATACTTGGACTTACAGGGTACCATATAAAGAATGCAGAACTGAGGGGTAAAAAACAAACAAGCAAACAAAAACAGTTAAAACCAAAGCGAGAAAAGAACATGTTTCATACCCTCAAAGAACTGAATCTGAAGTGGGGGAAAAAAAGAACCCTTAAGAAAAATCTTTAAGAAAATCTTTAAAACCCTTAAGAAAAATCTCCCAAACACAGTAAATATAACAAAGAAATCAAAAATGCATGTGGAAAAGTGAGACTCAATAACTAGAAAATTTAATCCCCAGAGAAAATAAAAACAGTATATAGTAAGGGCAGAACACATAAGCCGAAGATATGTTTGAATTGACAGATGGAAAGTTTAATAATAAGTTATACCTAGATACACGGTCAAAATTTAGAATTTCATGGATAAAATTTTAAAAATCCTAAAAATGTCTGAGCGGGGAAGTGGAGGGGAAGGTTATTTTCACTGAAGCAATACATTAAAAAGCTTTTTTAAGAAAGAAAGCATATATTTTACAGTTAAATTCTTTTATTAAAAGAAAAAAAAAAAGGATGACTTCGGAACTAAAGTTCTACACTGAGTGTCCAAGAGAAAGACTCAAAGTGACAAAAACTAAAATAACAAGAGCTTTTAATATTTATTAAGGACTTAAAATATGCCAGGCATTGGGCTAAGCATTTATTTGTATTCATTCAATCTTCATAAAAACCAAATAAAATAGGTCCCAATATTATCCTCACTAGACAAAGAAAATGAGACACAGAGAGGTCAGATAATTTGCCCAAAGTTCACACAATAGATGGGAGTTGCCAGAATTTGAACCCAGGTAGCCTCATTCCAGGGCCTAACCATTTGAACTACTGTTCTAAATGAATTCCCTCTAATGTAAAAAGGGCACAGAGATCAGGCAAATCCAAACAAACTACAAGTGAGTGGTAGTTATAGTAATTTTAGTTATTAAAAGGAGAAAAGATAATTATTTGTCAGTGGTGAGAGTTAGAATTTATGATCAAGAAAAAGAAATACTCAGCTCACGAGTGTCCAAACCTCGTCGCTCTTGCCCCATTGGAGATATCCATTGGGGCAGTTGCAGAATGCATGACCGAATGAGCTAGTAAGCAAAGATCGGGCACAGACCCTTATGTACTAAATTTAAAAAGTAATAAAATCCCTAAAAATAAAAGGGAGCTGACAGGGGAACAGTGGCAAAAAAAATAGGTATAGTCATTTCTGCTATAAATGCTTGTTTCAAAAAAATTTATTCCAAAGTGAATGATTATATCAGGGAGCAAATTTTGTATTGCTTAAGTGAAATTTTGTCCCTGAGAAACAGAAGTGAAGAAGGCAGAAAACTGCACCCAGTTGAACCCAGCCACATAGGGATACACAAGACACACACACACACACACACACACACACACACACACACCCTCCAAGGTCTACCAGTTACTTCAATTCACTGTCTGTGTTCACAATCATCCACATATGCCAAAAAACTTCCTGTCAGATTTCAGATAACCCACTTTCTACCATTTTGCACTAACTCAAAATCTGTACTCTTTCTGACATCCACGTCTACAAGTATAAACTTCAGGTCTTTTATTGTAGCATTTATGTTATTTCTAACCACCTAACATACATAAATCTCTACCAGCATCTTTATTAGGTTCCCATCTCTTCTGTGTGTGTGCGTGCGTGTGTGTGTGTATCACTAGCAAAGTTTTTGAATGCTGTGCCCTATCAAGAAAAAAAAAAAAAGGTCTGATGGATAATGATGGAAAACCAAATCCCTCCAAATTATCTTTAAATTAGTTTGTGTCAATTTCCATCAAAATCCTTTTCTTTTTTGATAGGGTAGGAAGAATTTAACAAATTAATTCTAAAGCTCCTTGGGAAAATTAAGTGGTCACTCATTAAAAGAATTTTTCAGCAAAGAAAGACAAAGGGAGATTTAAATTGCCCATTAATGAAACAGATCTTAAAGCCACGACAATCAGAGTCAAGCAGAAAAGTCCATGAAAGAGGTCAGAAAACCCAGAAATCAATGCATATTTAAATACAACAAAGATGGCACTTCAAATAAGTAGGGAAAAAAACAGACAATTTACATCTCAGGGCAGCAGCAGAGCACAGCATGGGAGGGAAGAGCCTGTGGGGCTGGACAGGCGGCCCCGGATGGCACGCCAGCGAGGCGCGTCCCAGCTGGGTGACCCCGGACAACCAGTGTCTTTATCTGTAAAACGAGGACAGTCATTGTACCTACTTCACAGGACTGCTGCGAGGATTATCAGTTATCATTTGTGAAGTGCTCAGAATAGGCATTAAAACAGTAAGTGCTATATATGTGATATTAAATAAATAAAAGAAAGCAATTCATGCTATGATAATCCTTAAACTCTTGGGAGCAGAAGGGAGGGACACATAGGGAACAGATTCTCTCATCATACCACACTGAGAAAATATGCAACATTATCAGTAATCAAAAATCCAAATTAAAATATTTCAACCATCGAATCGGTCAAAGTTTTAGAAAAAAATTATACTGGTGGCCAACTAGGCAGAGACATTGGTACAATTCTATATGGAAGATAGAAGAATACTCTGAAACAATCTTTCCAAGGGTCACTTTGATTATATGCTTCAAAAACCATTTAAAATATTAAGCCCCTTTGACCTAATAATTCAATCTCCGGGACAAAGTTGGAACATAAGGACTTCAACAGAAAAGTTTCAAGTCACTTTTTCAGAGATGAACTAGAATCAGGGAAAAAAGGATGTGAAGAAATATTTTAGTTTCAGATATAAGGCTAAGAATTTTTACCTTCTAAAAATTCAAGTCTTGTTTCACTGTATAATTAATGTTTAATATTACCAAATTGCAAAAACAAAAAAACAAACAAAAAAACAGTTTTAAAACAAACCTTTTCACAGCATCCTTCTTCGGCTTATCTATAGTATCCCACCACTTTGAAAGGTAAGAAATCTCAGACCACATAAATTTTCTCTGTGAGTCTTCTTTCAGCTTGATGACTATGTTATTAAAAATATACTGAGTCATCTCTCTAAAGTAGTCATCAAAAGTCTTCAACCAACCTAAATCAAGACACAAATATACAACAAAGGTCTGATTCATATGTCTGATTTCAACTCAGTCACATTCCATTGCATCACCTTTGGATACCCTTAGATGTTTCATTCATATTAAGACACATTTAAAAATTTCAGAAATGTTTCAAGTGGTGAAATTCCATTTCAATGGATACGAAACTCAAAAAGTCACTAATGACAAAACACTCTGAAAACTGCACAAATTCAGATAGAAATGAGGGAAAAAATGAGAAAAATGACCTGAGGCCCAAAAGCATTTATTTATGCTTAGTAATTATAGTATTGAATTCAATTATTTATAATTTATCTCTAATTTAAGGAATTTGCTTTAATTCTAAAAATCTGAACAGCGTTAACAAGCTGGCAGTACTACTCATAATGTAATGAAAACTGTATCCCTTCATACCACATCTGAAACTCCCTACCCATTTTAGTAAGTTAAATTAAGAAAAAGAAAAGTATAAACTATATCTAAAAGTCAGCAGCAAAGCAGTAAGGTAATTAATAGCACTATTATGAATACAGAGAAGTAGAATTCTGCCAAGAACGGGCATTAGTTTCCAAAGGCTGTAAATTATTCCATTTTTTGGAAGCACAAATTGACACTAATCAAACAACACAAGTGTATACATGTATGTCAAGTCTTTTTCAAAAGAAAATTGTAGATACTGAGGACTTAGTTCTCAGACTTTTCTCAAATATCCTGGAAGTTTTATCTAAAGATATTTGCAATTTCACTCTAAAGAAACATCTTTTTATAAGATTCTATTTATTTGACAGAGAGAGAGAAAGAGAGCACAAGCAGGGGGAGTGGCAGGCAGAGGGAGAAGCAGACGCCCCGCTGAACAGGGAGCCTGACACGGGACTCGAATCCAGGACCCTGGGATCATGACCTGAGCTGAAGGCAGACGCTTAACTGACTGAGCCACCCAGGTGCCCCATCCCTATAAAGAAACATTTTTAACAAGACCCATAAGTCCAAGCATAGCCCTATCTGGCAGAGCATTAAAGCAACATGATGAGCTGCTGAGGCAAAATCATACCCAGCTATCTATTGGCCACGTGGACCTTCCAAAGAACAACCTCTTATCCATGAAATCTTATAGAGAGATAGGAGTTTCTATACATCCAGGCTAAACTACTGCTCTATTTTTTCCAAACCTCAAACATGTGGGGAGACTAAACTATTAAGGGGTCAACTGGTTAGTTCTTTTGTTTATAATTAATATCTGAAATATACTGTATTAGCTGGAAGATAATAAAATGTGCTAGGGCAGAGAAGACAATGCAACTATTTTGACAATGTAAATATGAGCTTCTGAAAAGGGCACTGACACTCTGTATTTCTCCCTTTTGCTTTAACTAAAATCTATTCATTCATTCCATAGTTATTTAGTGAGCATGTACAAAGCGACAGGTCTGAAGCCAGAAGCCAAAGAGGAATTCAGTGTAAAATATTCTTTACGAGGACTTTCTTGATCTGGGACACCTTTAAGTTATTTTTAAAGTCACCAAAGAATACTACATGGATAGTTTAACTTTTCCATGTTTAAATAAAAAGCCTATCTATATAGAAAATTCAAAGATAGCTCATGAAATAGTGGTTTGCAAAGAATCCCATCTTGCTTGGCAAAGGTACAAACTTGGGACTCCTGCCCCAGACCGCAAAGCCAAGATCCACATCTGGATTCCCAAGGACAAGCAAAGAAAAGCCAACCTACCCCTAGCATGCTCCAACTCGCTGCTAATGCTGACCATGCCAACATCCAAGACAAAAAAAACATCAAGTGCTCAGACCAGAGTCCAGGATATAACACAGGACTTGATAAATGTTAGTTGCTATTATTATTATCACCTTCATCAGTCTTTAATGGACCCTTCCCCATCTCTACAATCAAAACAGGTAAAAGAGGAAATAAAAGATATTTCTAACAACTAAATTTTGAAAAGGGCACATTTATTTAAAACATTTAAATAAACTGTTCCACATCTTAAACATATTGGTAACCCAAAACTTTGGTTTGCAAAGAATTCATTCTATGCCCCTATTAAGGGCTGAATTGTGTCCCCTCAAAATTCCTATGTTGAAATCCTAAACCTCAATACCTCAGAATGCAACTGTATCTGGAGACAGGGTCTTTCAAGAGGTGATTAAGGTATAATAAGGTCATGAAGGTGGGCCCTAATCCAATATGTCCTTACAAGAAAAAGCAATTAGGACACAGACATACACAGAGGGAAGACCATGCGAAGACAGGGGGCTATCTGCAAGCCAAGATGAGAGGCCTTCAGAAGAAACCAACACTGCTGACACCTTGATTTTGGACTTGCAGCTTCCATAACTGTAAGGAAATAAATTTCCGTTGCTTAAGCCACCCAGTCTGTAGTACTTTGGGATGGCAACCCTAGCAAACTAATTTAGCCCTAGAAAAAATCAGTGTTATTACCATCCGAAAAACAAAGATTGCACTGTGGGGAGAATTTATTTTACCAAGGACCATTATAATATTTAATTTAACATGTATCTACCTCCATATTGCAAGACTGAGCTAAAATCAAATGTTTGGAAGTGACCTCTCCTTCTGCATCATGCTCTTATTATACATGTGCAGTGAGGACCATGTAAATTCCTGAAATGGCTCTGTGCAAATTATTGTCTTTAAGACATCACACATAGGTGTTTTACCTAAATTTTAACAAAGGTCAAAACTAAGCCCTAATTATTTGGCTATTAACTCAATAAAAGAAAAGAGCTGTTAACAATGGAATGACTCCAAAATTAATTTAATAATAAAACTCTAGTAATCTAGCATAGAAAGCAAATTTAGAAGAAACTGTCTTTATGAAGCTGAATAAGTAACAGGGTTTTTTTTTTCTTTTTTAAGTACAATTACTTGTTTTCATCAGTTATAATTTGTTATTAGCTAAGACCCTTTCAAAGAATAGTTTATCATAGGAGTTTTCATAAAGAAATCACAGTGACTGATTAATCCATGTTGCCTTCAACACTTCATTTGCCCTTCAACAATCATGCAGAAAATATGTCAAAGATATTTATGTGAGCCAAAATACATGCTGAGATGTCAACTTAAAAGCCTTCCATAAAACTCATCTATAATAGATACTAATATCACTAAAATATAACACAATTAATGAAGAATGAACTAAAAGATAGCCTCTTGCAGCTTTCAATATTGAGTAATATAACAGTAAATTAGCTTTTATTGCTCTTATACAATAATCAAGTATTCCCTTTTACACTGAATTGGCTCTTTCTTGTCCTCAATTACTGTAAAACTACAATTGTATATTAACATAAGACCAATCAGAAAGACAGTATTTTATGAAAAGTTGTATGGGATGATTTTTTGTGACATAAAATTATATTCCTACCTCTGGATTTAATAATCCTAGGACATTGAGTTGCAAACTGATTTACTTAAGTGGTCAATTCACAGCCTTTTTCTTTCCCTTGAATACACTTGGAAATTGAACCAGGGCTAGAATAGCACGAAGAATACCTTTCCATTTACTCTTTTTCCCCTCTAACAACACTTCAACCCATAAAACAGCTAGTCACCATTTTTAAGTAAGTGGGGAAATATCTAAAACAAAGAATACATAATTAGAAGTTCTTTAAAGCAGGCATAACTCCAAGTTTGCTATCACTATTTTATCATAAAAAATTTTAAGTTTTAAAATATAAAGCCTAATAAAGTTGACAACCCAATGCTTATTTTTAATGCTTGTGAACAATTAAGCACCTCGTAATTGTTCACTGACAAAACACTATTTTTTAAAATTTGACTCTTGATCTTGCTTCAAAATCTAAAGACTTTGTGGCACTCTGATCCTCTCAAGGAACACTCAGTTTTATTTGGTTCAAGAGCATACACAGCACCAATTTAGCACTTGGGCAAGGGGATCCCTTCCTGAGCCCTGGTCACTTGAGGGATCTTCCTATTCGTCCTCTGACCACATTCTTTTCACACAATAAATTCCCAAAGCAAAGAACCTGCCCACCCAGAGCCTGCCCTGACTTGCCCTGACCTGCCCTTCTGAGTACCAGGGCCCAGAAATCTGTGTTCAAACAGCCTCAAGCCAGTTTCTAGAGCCCACCAAGGGCCTTCTATAGGTTTTTCTATAGGGAAGTCGACCTGCAGGTGGTAACCTCCCTAGCCTGAGCAATGGGCAGGGGGAATGCAGTTTGCAGGGGTGTGGGAAGAGTGCTGGGGTGTCTGCAAAGGAGGGCCTGGTTTAGGACAGGGCCATTTCTGGGAGACAGGGCTGGGCTACTATAGGCTGGCTCTTCCCACATGCACCAACACATTCCAGTAGAGAACTGGAGCCTGATCGATCTCAACCCACACATGGCCTTCCTGATAATGGTGCTATTTCTCAAGGCAGGATGAAAAGACCTATCCTTATTTAGCAATGTATCAGTTTGATTTATAACTTTTAAATGTTTATACAAAGGGCCTGAGGACCTCCAGGTATTTCTGCCCCAATTCCTACAAATTTGAGAACCTATAACCCGAACTTCAAAGCATTGAATTCTCATGAAGCCAGCACCTAGTATGAAGCCTACACCATCAAGAATTCAGTAAGTATGTGATAGATGAATGAAATGCACGGCCAAAAGGATAGGGGAAAAAAGGTATATGAAATATAAATACAAATTTATTACTCCAACTGGAAATGAAACCAAAAGGAAAAGACATTGCACACATACACAATTAGCTCTAATGCATTCATTGTCTGTTCTGATGCTAACCTAATAATCTTTGGTCATTATCTCTTAAGGTTCTATTTTATATTTAAAAAAGCTCTGTCAGCCCTAAGATAATTTAAAACACACATCCTCTCGGGGGCGCCTGGGTGGCTCAGTTGGTTAAGCGACTGCCTTCGGCTCAGGTCATGATCCTAGAGTCCCGGGATCGAGTCCCGCATCGGACTCCCTGCTCAGCGGGAGTCTGCTTCTCCCT